GGGAAAGAAATTGAGGGTTAGCTGGCTGGCAAAGTGTGGCTGGTGTGTGTTGACTGATTTGAAAATTAACTGATTTATTCCTTTTTAGAAGCATTTCTGTGACAGTTATCTCCTCCACCCACCACTTTTTATTTTTGACAAATACTAAGTCACAGAAAAGATGGATACTGTATATAGTTCACTAGTGTAACCACTGTTTACATCTTACCACATTTGCTTTCTCTAAGTACATCAATATATCTTCTTTTTTCATTTCTTAAACCTTTATTTATTTTTAATTAATTTATTTTATTGATTATGCCATTACAGTTCTATTCCCCCCTTCATTCCCCTCCACCCTGCATACCTCCTCCCCCACGATTTCCCCCCCTTAGTTTATGACCATGTGTCTCAAATTCTTTAGATTCTATATTTCCCCTACTATTCTTACCTTCCCCCCGATTTTCTGCCTACCATCTATGCTACTTATTTTCTGTACCTTCTCCCCCCTTCTCCTTCTCCCACTCCCCTGTTGCTAACCCTCCATGTGATCTTCATTTCTATGGTTCTGCTCCTGATCTAGCTGTCCTTTTAGTTTGCTTTTGTTTTAGATGTGGTTCTTAATAACTGTGAGTTTGCTGTCCTTTCACTGTTCATATTTTTATCTTCTTTTTCTTAGATAAGTCCCTTTAACATTTCATATAATAAGGGCTTGGTGATGATGAACTCCTTGAACTTGACCTTATCTGAGAAGCACTTTATCTGCCCTTCCATTCTAAATGAAAGCTTTGCTGGATAGAGCAATCTTGGATGTAGGTCTTTGGATTTCATGACTTGGAATAGTTCTTTCCAGCCCCTTTTTGCCTGTAAGGTCTCTTTTGAGAAATGAGCTGACAGTCTGATGGGGACTCCTTTGTAGGTGACTGTCCCCTTATCTCTTGCTGCTTCTAGGATTTTCTCCTTCATTTGAATCTTGGCTAATGTAATTATGATGTGCCTTGGTGTGTTCCTTCTTGGGTCCAACTTCTTTGGGACTCTCTGAGCTTCTTGGATTTCCTGGAAGTCTATTTCCTTTGCCAGAATGGGGAAGTTCTCCTTTATTATTTGTTCAAATAAGTTTTCCACTCGTGGCTGTTCCTCTTCCCCTTCTGGTACCCCTATAATTCTGATGTTGGAACGTTTAAAGATGTCCTGGAGGTTCCTAAGCCTCTCCTCATTTTTTTTGAATTCTTGTTTCTTCATATTTTTCTGTTTGGTCATTATTTTCTTCCCTCTGGTCCACTCCCTTGATTTGAGTCCCAGTTTCCTTTCCATCACTATTGTTTTCCTGTGCATTTTGCTTCATTTCACTTAGTGTAGCCTTCATTTTTTCATCTAATTTGTGACCAAAATCAACCAATTCTGTGAGCATCCTGATCACCAGTGTTTTGAAGTGTGCCTCTGATAGGTTGGCAATTTCTTGTTCGCTTAGATTTATCGGCTCTGGGGCTCTGAGTTCTTCTGGAGCCATGTTTTTATCTGTTTGCGTCTGTTATGTGTGAGGAGCGGAGCCTTAATTGTTCACCAGGGCGGGGCTACCCAGGTCGCTGGTTTGTGATGCTGTATGTGGGGGCGGGGTCAGAGAGGGAGCAATGGCAGTCCTCTCTGCTGCTTCCTGCCGCTGGGGCCTTTGAGGTCTGTCTCACTACTCCTTCGCTGGTTTATCTGTGTGCAAATGTGTGACCTCGGTCAGCCAGCCACCTTGCGCCTTCACTGAGTCCGCCCGTTGCTACCCCACACCTGGGATTCGCCCCTGCGTGCCTGGGTTGGGGGGCTCTTCCTTGCCCGACTGCTTCGCTGCTGGCTCTGCCCCTCTTACCAGTCCAGCAGAGTGGCTCGTTGCTGTCGGACTCTGTACTTTTTTTTTCAATTTATTTTTTTATTGATTGTGCCATTACAGTTGTTCTATTCCCCCCTTCATTCCCCTTCACCCTACCCCCCGTCCCCACCATTACCCCACCTTTAGTTTATGACCATGTGTCTCAAGTTCTTTAGATTCTATATTTCCCATACTATTCTTGCCCCCCCATCAATTTTCTGTTTACTGTCTATGCTACTTATTTTCTGTACCTTCTCTCCCCTTCTCCTCTTCCCACTCCCCTGTTACTAACCCTCCTTGAGATCTTCATTTCTATGTTTCTGCTCCTGATGTAGCTATCCTTTTAGTTTGCTTTTGTTTTAAATGTGGTTCTTAATAACTGTGAGTTTGCTGTCCTTTCACTGTTCATGTTTTTTTAACTTCTTTTTCTTAGATAAGTCCCTTTAACATTTCATATAATAAGGGCTTGGTGATGATGAACTCCTGGAATTTGATCTTATCTGAGAAGCACTTTATCTGTCCTTTCATTCTAAATGAAAGTTTTGCTGGATAGAGCAATCTTGGTTGTAGGTCTTTGGATTTCATGACTTGGAATAGTTCTTTCCAGCCCCTTCTTGCCTGTAAAGGTCTCTTTTGAGAAATCCGCTGACAGTCTGATGGGGACTCCTTTGTAGGTGACTGTCCCCTTATCTCTTGCTGCTTCTAGGATTCTCTCCTTCATTTGAATCTTGGCTAATGTAATGATGATGTGCCTTGTGTGTTTCTTCTTGGGTCCAACTTCTTTGGGACTCTCTGAGCTTCCTGGATTTCCTGGAAGTCTATTTTCTTTGTCAGATTGGGGAGATTCTCCTTTATTATTTGTTCAAATAAGTTTTCCACTGATGGCTGTTCTTTTCCCCCTTCTGGCACCCCTATAATTTGGATGTTGGAGCGTTTAAAGATGTCCTGGAGGTTCCTAAGACTCTCCTCATTTTTTTGAATTCTTGCTTCTTCACTCTTTTCTGTTTGGCCATTATTTGCTTTCTTCTGGTCCACTCCATTGATTTGAGTCCCAGTTTCCTTTTCATCGCTATTGTTTTCCTGTGCAAGTCCATTCATTTCAATTAGTTTCGCCTTCATATGTTTGTCTAATTTGTCGGTATAATCAACCAGTTCTGTGAGGATCCTGATCACCAGTGTTTTAAACTGTGTGTCTGAGAGTTTTGCTATTTCTCCATCGCTTGGATTTATAGGCTCTGGGGCTTTGAGATCTTCTTGAGCCATTTTTGGTCTGTTTGTGCCCGTTAAGTACGAGAAGCAGAGCCTTGGACTCCCAGGTCGCTGGGTTGTGACGCTATATGTGGGGGTGTGGTCAGAGCGGGGGAAATGGCGATCTCCTCTGCTGTTTTTCGCAGCTGGGTGAGGAGCAGAGCTTTAGGTGGTTCACCAGGGCGGGGCCACTCAGGTCACTGGGTTATGACGCTGTATGTGGAGGCGGGGTCAGAGTGGGGAAATGGCAGCGACCTGTGCTGCCGCTCGCCGTGGGGCCTGCTCAGTCCCATAGTCTCACCACCCACTCCCGCGCTTGTCTATCTGCGCAGGAAGCGTGACCACAGTCAACCCGCAGCCCTGCTCCCTCGCTGTTTCCCCACGGTCACTCGCTGAGTCGCTTACTAGGTCCAACCCTGCTCCTGGGTTCCACGCGCCCGAGTCTGTCTGACCGAGTTTTTCTGTGCAATCCTGCTCCTCCAGCTGCTGGTTTCGCCCCTCTTACTGGTCAGGCTGAAGAATTTGTTGTTATCAGACTTCCGAAAAGTTCAATTTTCTGTGTTCTGGCTGTGTTTTCTGTTGCTAATATTTAGTTGTCTCTAAACTTGGTTGTGAGAGAAGGCACAGCGTCTCCACCTATGCCTCCATTATATCTTCTAAAAATGAGGATATTTCCTATTAACTGTAATATCATTATATCCAAGAAATTTAATATTGATATGATAACACCTAAGATACAGTTTATATTCAAACTGTATCTTGTTGCTGTTTTAGTGTCAGGTTCAGGTCCAGTGATGGGCTCCCCATGGCTTTCGGCTGTCATATCACAGAAGGGACATGTATATTTTTTTAGGATGGGAGACATAACAGCACATTCATGTGCTGATTTAAAAAATCTAGTAGAGAGTAGAACTAGATAATGCAGAAGTGGGGGCAGTTGCCAGAGCAATAAACTTAAGAAGGGGAGAGGAGATGGGATGTATCCTTAGTGGGGGGATGACCTTGGATGGGAGCACGGACAGTTTGTCCGGAGTAACAGGAGAGAAGGCAAAGCCTATGGGCAGGTGTGTAGAGTTGGGGCAGGTTGAGGAAGTTCTTTTGTGATTGCTTTTATTTTGGTGAAATAGGAAGGATGGTATTCAGCTGAGAGGAAGGAAGGCGAAGAGGCGTGGTAGGTTTAAGGAGGTTTGAAGCCGCCGTCTGAGATGGCCCCCTTCAGACTAGGGCGTGCGTGTTGCTGAGCGTGCTTGAGGATTTTCTCAAGTGTGTGCATTTATGGACACTCTTTAGGGAGTCATTTCGTAGACTTCAGCTTCTGCAGATGCAGTTCCAGGAAACTAGTGTGTCTGAGGAAGGGCCTCTTGACCATAGGCTTCCTCTCACTTTGGAAAAAAAGGCAGGCTCTCGCCTATGCCAAATCTGAATTAATTATATCACCCTTGGATTGTCCCTGCTTCTCGTCTGCTCATTGGTCTTTTTTAATTTTTAAAATGTATTAATTGATTTGCGAGAGAGAGAGAGAAAAACATCAATTTGTTGCTGAGTTTTTCCACCTGTCTTTTTACTCACCTGTCCCCTGGCACGTGCCTGACCAGGGACCAAACTCGCAACCTTGGGGAGTCAGAATGATGCGCCAACGGACTGAGCTACGTGTTCAGGGCTGCTCATTGACTTTATTGTTCCTCTTTATTTCTGTTCTTAAACCAGGGGGAAAAAACTTACTTTCTGGAAGCAGGATGCCCTTCTTAACTATCCTTTCACCCCAAATTCCCACAGCTTATCATGCCACTTCCTTGTGTCTAGTTTTCACCTTTCCCGTGTGTGTGCGTGTGTGTGTGTTTCTGTTCTCCCCACCTGTACTTCCCCTCTGCTTTCCTGCCTCCCCTGTGAGTGTTGTCTTTTCTGTGTCCTTCAGGCTTGGTCGCGGTGGCAGGAGCAGCTCCGGCATGTCCAGAGGGAGACACAGAAGGTGGTCTCTGCAGTGAAGCACCATCAGCACTGGCAAAAGTTGAGATCCCTGAAGGCCTGGCTTGAATTCCTGCGGGTCCGGAGGGCAAAGAGACAGCGGAAAGGTGAGCAGGAAGTCCCGGGCTCAGCGGGCAGAGGGCTGGGGCACAGTTTCTCCTTCTGCCAGAGGTGCTAATTTATTAAGGAGAGATGTAATGATATTGAGATTGAGGAGGAAAATCCATCATCCTCAATTCACATTTATTTTCTTCTATGCGTACATTTTATTCAATGGGGTTTTAATTATCCTATAATGACTGTGTTGCTATGATTAATATGATGTATGTAATTTTGCCCATCGCTTTTTTCCATACAACTAACCAACACTTTCCTATGTCTTTAAATATTCTTCATTGATGTTATTTTTTTTAAGATTTTATTTATTTATCTTTAAAGGGAAAGGGAAGGAGAGAAGGACAGAAATATCAATGCATGGTTGCCTCTCATGAGTCCCCTGCTGGGAACTGGCCTGCAACCCAGGCATGTGCCCTGACTGGGAATTGAACCGTGACCCTTTGGTTCGCAGGCCCGTGCTCAATCCACTGAGCTACACCGGCCAGGGCAGATGTTATTTTTTTAATGGTTATATTTAATAGGATGGCTTACCTTAATCTACTAACCATTCTTCTATTGATAGATATTTGGATTTTTGTTTGTTTCCAGTTATGTGAATGTGTGTAATTTGTTGTTAAGCTTTTTTAAACATTCTTCAAATGGTTTATTTCCCAGTGAGAGTCCAGAAGTGATAATGTGTAGTTCACCATCATCAGTACTGTCTGTACTTTGATTCTTCGGCCTGTGCAAAAGTGACTCAGTCTCTGCGCTGGATGCTAGGTTGGGCCTTCCAGCTTTTACCGAGCACTCTCTGCAGAAATCTCTAGGCTGCCAAAGCTGTGCCTTGGGAGAGTTTGAATGTGTCCATTTGAAGCTAGTGACAGGAGACCACTGCCTGGCTGCCCAAGCCCGAACCGGAGGGCAGTAAGCCGTTAGGAACGATGAGCTGCAGACTAATGTTCCTCCAGTGACAGCATTTGACTTTCAGGACTGACTCCCTTTCATTTCCTGGACTTCAGCTCATCGGGCCATTAGCTAATCAGTGTTAAAAGCTGATGAAGCTGGCAGCCTGCATCAGCCTGGCTGAAAGCTCAAAAAACCCTTTGCCAGCACGTTGTCGGAACCGTGTGTCATTGACTCAGCCCCTAAAGTCCCATCTGGGAGACCTCTGCAAAGAGGCAAAAACAAGACGGAACCTTTGAAAGCGGCAGTCACTGTTCTTACTCATCAGTAGTAACTATGAGCCTCAGCTCTTTGATTTTATAGCATCTTCTTCCCCAAAATTCCAGACCTTTTCTCTTGGAAAGAAGAGATGTAGCTAAGGGATTCCTGATAACCTTCCCGTGTTTAGAAAACATTTATTCTAGAGTTCTTTGTGAGAGCAGCCTTGAGTCCCTGCTGTCTGCCAGTAGTGGGGTTCACCTTGTTTTTAAAGAAGCTTCCAATTCATTGCTCGGTGAGGGGTGTCAGAACTCGTTATTTTCTCTGTTGCAGAGCTGGCTGAGCGATTCCACCAAGTCACTGTTCTTCAGACACACTTCTGTGACTGGCAGTGGGCCTGGCGGCAGAGGGAGAGTTTGCATGCTCACCACGCGCGGGTGGAGGCGCTGGCCGGAAGGATGGTGCTGCGTCGGGCCTTCACTCACTGGAAGCACTGTATCCTTGCCAGCCTCCCAGCCCCGCCTGCCCCTCAGCCAGGACAGCGCGAGCTCAGCATCCTGTAAAACGAGAATCAGGAGATACGTAGGAAACAATTACTAAACATTTAATAGTGCTGATCTCTCTTGATTTCTTTTAAGGTTTTTGGATTGGGGATATTCATACAAAACAGTATGTATAGCATATTTATAGTTTAAAGAATAATAAATGAAAACCTATGTACCCACCACTAACTTAAAAAATAGAACATTGCTAGCTCTCGTCTGCTCCTCTCTGCTTGTATTCCCTTCCCCCTCCTCCTCCTCCTCGGAGGTAATCCTGCTGTCCTGAATCTTATGTCAAAATTTCGTAGCCTTTCTCCCCACTAGGTGGTGGAAATAGCCATAGCCATTTCTGTCTCAGAAATTTGTCTTATTTCATGTCTGTTTTTGAAAGCCCTCTGTTCTTGGCGGATCTATCGTCATGATCATAGCTTCCGTTTATTGAGCGCTTACCGTGTGTGGGCGTTCTGCATTGTCCCCGTAATCTTCATAGCGGTCTTGGGGAGTGGGCATCACTGCACTCACTTTACAGACGAGGAAGCGTTCAGGGGAGCCAAGTGGTTTTCCAACTCACAGTAAGACATTGGCAGAGCCAGAGTTTTTAAAGCCCATGCCTTTGAGTCCCGCACACACTGCACCCGCCACAGCATGTGCCCAGGGGTGGGGGTTTAGGGGCTGCCTGGGCTGTGCATCCACACGCTGGGTTGTTTATCAAACTCCTGCTTTGCTCTAAACTCCTGCCTAAGTTCTGGAACACGCGGAAACTCGAAGATTCACAGTTGTTCATTTTCTAGTGGGGGCGACATGACAATCTTTACAGTGTGACATGAGAGGTGCTGTTATGAGAAAGGTTTACATCAAGTCCTATGAGAGCTGCTGTGGTGATTCAGCCAAGGAAATGTTTGAGCCGAACTGAAGTCTTAGGGGAGGACAACTTGGCCCAGCGGAGAGGTCGGGGGCGGTTTCCGGGGGGAGGAGTGGCACTCACACAGGCGTAGATGAGGGAGAGCCTTCAGAGTGGGCGGTGGGGTCGTAGTGAGCTGTGGGGGGTGGATGCTGACTCCCCTGGTGGGCCGTGATCAGGAATTTGGGCTTTCTCTTGGCAGCACTGGGGGTCCTCTGGAATTATTTGAGAAGTGGTACAGCAGGTTTATATGTTGGAAGGGCAAAGCTAGATTAGAGGAGCGAAGCCAGCACAGGGACACCAGGTATATGAGGTGCTGTCTCACCAGTCTGTGTGAGGAACAAGTCCGATGAACTGCAGGGTGTTGGGGGCGGGGACAGAAGAGCAGGAGAGATTTAGGGGGACAGCAGACGGACTTGGCAACTGGGTAGATGGCGGGAGTGGGAGGAGAAAAGCTTTGAAAGTAACTCCAAGGTTTTTAGCTGAAACATCTGACTGGATTGGGAGGCCAGAACAGAGAACGCAGGAGAGAGAAGTTCTGCGTTAGATACTACGATTTGGAAATGCTTTCTGCAGTTGTTGGCAGTTTCTCTCAGCTAGTCTTTGCTTCTCATGAAACGGGCATCAGAGGAGAGAAAGAGGAGGCCAGCTGTTTGAGGAGTAACTCACATGGAATCCCTTTGCTCACTCATCCTTGGCTCATCAGGAGGAGACGGGGACATCAGCCGATCTGCATGTCCTGTGCTCCCTGCAGCCAGAACCCTTCAGACGGGTCGCTAGGATTGTACCGTGTGGGGGTGGCAACCCTGTTGAGACCAGAAGCCTTAACTCCTGCAGACATGCTGCTGTGTGCAGAAGCGGCTGCCCGGTGGGCGATGGCAGAGGAGCACTGCAGGCGCCGCTTGCTGGTAAGCACGTCAGCCCTGCTCAGGCCCCGCTCTGGGGGTCCCGGACCCACATCACGCTCTTCCAGGGCCCCTGGTCCTGTGGTGCGCTTCAGTCGAGAAGTGTGGTGGGTGTCCCCATTGTCGTTTTGGATCAGAGATGGTAACGGTGTGGGGTCAGAGGAGACTGGGGCTATAAAGGAATCTTGGAGATGATCTGGTCCTGGGGATTTTTACATGGCGGGCCCCCGTTTTAGTGGTGGAAGCCTAGTCTGTGGAGTTGATCGGAGCAGCAGTGCTGAGGATGAAGCGAGGTCCGGGGAGCAGTACTGTTCTCTCCCCAGCCCTCACCAACTCTTTTAGCGTCCTGCGAAGTTCCCAGAGCAGAGCCAGAGAACCCCTGATCTCTTCGGTCTTGGCAAACTGAAGCCTGGGCCGGGAGAGCATGGGCTTTGCTCCTGCCACGCGTGAGGCACTGATGGAGCTGGAGCCCAGCCCGTGTGTCCTGCTTCTGCCTCAACCCCCTACTCACCACGGATTCCTTCTCTTCTCTTCTGTTCCTGCAAAACACTGCATTTATAATTGTGCAAGTATGCACGTTGACCCCACCTAGTTAAAAAAACCAAAACATCATAGGCTACAAGTCTGTCTCCCTTGCGAGGGGCTGAGCTGATGTTTTTGACCTTCGTCTGTAGTGTTCCCGTCTGGGTCAGGGGGATGTGCCCTGGTCAGAGGTCAGGGTGCGTTTGTTCCCGTGCGTCACCATGGACAGCGGGGAGTGGGTCGAGGCTGCTTATTAAATGGCTCCTGTGCGGCCTGGCCTGTGTCAGGCTGCCGTGGAGACTCAAAGCAGGGAAACACTCTCGGGGACAGGGGAGCAGCTGTGACCAGGTGTGACTGAGCTTCTTGTCGCTGCTTTTATTTTTACAGACAATTTTGATTTGTGACCTGTAGTGTCCTTTCTTCTTTTGACAGCACTTTTGCTTCGGAGCCCTAAAAGACAATGTGACCCGTGCCCACCTGCAGCGAATACGAAGGAATCTCGCTCACCAGCAGCATGATGTCATGGTGAGGGTCTCCTTCTGTATCACGGGGCCTCTCCCGATGGCCACTGTCTTTTCAACCTTTGTGTGTACAGATTTGCCCCCTGACCTGTGGACTCTGAAACCGTGGTGCCCGCTTTCTTTAGTCGTCCATGCCAGCCAGTAGAGAAACCTTTGTCATTGCCTTGTTTAATCCCATTTTTTATCTGTTTGCTAAGAAAATTGGTACTTGAATCGGAGGTCAGGGACTGTGGACTCGGACCCCGACCCGGGGAAGGGGGTTTGAGCCTGCCCTCTAGGGGGCCGCGGTGGTGTCTGCGCCGTGGGTCTGTTCCCCGAGGGGGCTGGTTTACCCAAGGGCAACGGGCGTTCCAGCTCTTCTTGTAGACTGTGATTCTGGGTGCACAGGGATGGCATTTACTTGTTTTGTTGTTAGTTATGAAGACATTTAAATGTATAGAAAAATAGGAGCACTAGTGTAATAAACATTTAATTCATCTAAACTCAACAATTGGTAATATTTGCTATATTTACCTCCTTTTTTTCTTTTAAGATTTTATTTACTTATTTTTAGAGAGAGGGGAAGAGAAGGAGAAAGAGAAACATCAACGTGTGGTTGCTTCTTGCATGGCCCCTACTGGGGACCTGGCCCAAAACCCAGGCAATGTGCAGGCATGACTGGGAATCGAACCGCTTGTCTGGTTCGCAGGCCGGTGCTCAATCCACTGAGCTACACCAGCCAGGGCTGTTTGTTTCCTTTTGATGTCATTTGATTTTCCTTTGTTCTATGTAACTTCTATAACTGGACGTCAGATCGAAGGGCTGGATTAGATTGAAGTTTCACATTTTTTGGCGAGACCACTCCGTAGGCAGCACTGTGCGACGGGCTCACTTTCAGTCTCTGCAATTGCATTGCCTCTCACAAGGCCCATATTACAAGAAATAGCTTCTGATTTCCATAGAGTGGAAGAGCCTTTGTTTTGCTTGTCGTGTTGACCCAGAATAGCTCCACGTAGCTTCTCCATAATCATTTTGCAAGCCTGTTACCTGTTGGGTGCTCAAAACTGAGGTAATTCCCGCTTTGGAGGACCTTACAATCTTTTGGTGCAGGGATTTCCTAACTAATAGGCTAAGAGAGATCGGTTTGTCTTAATAAACTTCCACTTTCTTCCTGTTTTGTTTCAGCTGCTGCGCAGGTTCTGGAACCTCTGGCAGTCTCAGATTGAGCAGAGGGAGGAAAGAAAGCAGCTGCCCTTCCTGCATGCCGCCCGGGACCACTACAGGTGGGGGCTCCCCAGGGACCCACTGTGATGGGCTCACTGCTTTCCAGGAGTGACCACTTGCCCTTCCATGAGTTATGGCAGCAGGTTCAGAAAGGCCCTGCTATACACCAGTTGTTCCTAAGCTTGCATTTCCCTTTTGGCTGATTAGAGGAAAGGCAGAATGGGAACATTCATGCTGGTTCTTGGCCACCATTGTTTGAAGTGTGTGCCTGCTAGCTCACCGCCTCAGTTCTTCCAGCTTTAGCAACATTCACGTTGTAGAATTCATGCATTAACGCTGTTCAGGAGAAGGCTCAGGCCAGGTGACTATTTGTGGCTTGGTCTGAACTGTGCAGAGGGTGTCCTCAGTTTTTTTTAGAGTTAATCGTTGAGTTAAAATACATATATGAATGCACCACATTTCCATGAGGAAAAGTCAGTGTATAGGAGGAAAGGCAGAGAGTTAAATGAAAGCTACCGGGGTCCCTTCCTCCAACCCCTTGGTCTTACTCTTCAGAGGTGAGCACTATTCACTACACCCCGCTGCCTTAAAAAAAGCCAGTTTAAGGCACTTAATTTGCATATTTGTAAGTTTAATTTTGGAACATTTTTTAATAAGTCAGAATCCCTGTGTTTAACAGACTCAGTTTGGACTTATTATTCTAAGTCCTGGTTTACAAAATTGAATGTAGTTCTCATTCTCGAAATCACTGTGTGAAGGGAACACGGTGGTCATACACAAGCCTCAGAGCTCAGCCTTAAAACAAGGGTATTTGGGGTCTTCATGCTGTTCCCTTAGTTCCAGAGATGCTGCACTTGGTGGCCTAGTTAGGTTCACAAGAAAGTTGGAATCACTTTTGGGAAGCCACAGTCCAAAATCAGGGTTGTCTTTAACACTCAAATGTAATTACATCTAAATTTACCTGCCTCAGAAACAAAATAAAAATTTAAAAACAAACCTGGAAGCGGGGTGGGCAGTACCTTGGCATTCTGTCTTGTATTTCAGAAGGATGTTGCTGCGCAGGTGTCTCCGGTGGTGGTTACAACACACTCAGAAGAGGCAATACAAGCAGGTATGGAGCAGTTTGTAGCAGGTACCTCTGCTGGCTTACATTCTTGGATCCATTTCCTCTGGAAAAATTCTTGGAAAAGGCCTGTGCCAAGAGATGTGGTGTTCAGACTTGGACGAGAGGGTGCTGTGAAAACTGCACGGTATTTCCCCCAGTGCTGTCTAGTGATGTCAGAAAGTCTGCATCGTTCCCACTCCTTCATCTGCTTTGAAAATGTGGGTGTTCTCTGAAAGCAGTGCGCTCTCAATGGCCGTTCATTCCACGTACATTTTACTCACATTCCTTTGTTAGTCAGCTACCCATCACCCAGTGGGACCTTAGAACATAAGTGCCATGTCCCTGTGCTAAACAGTGTGAGACACGGGTACCCACAGTGGGCGGGGGGAGGTGGGGGTCAGGCTGATGGATTAGTGAAGGCAGAGCGAGAGAAACAGGTTCTGCTCCATGTAAGAAGGGCTTGCTGAGCAGCCGCGGTGCCTCGGACACTGTGCTGAGCACTGGGACACGGCAGAGAGCTCTCCCAGGGCCTGTAATTTAGCCCCAGGGATCTCGCAGGCCGGCTCCAGTGGTGTGTGGCTGTCTGGAGTGCTGAACCGAGAAGGATTTCAGGGCCACGTTCAGGCTCAGGGGAACCGGCGTTGCCCACACGGGCACTGCAGTGCCAAGTGGCGCCGTGTGTGCCTCTATCCGGCCACGCCTGGCCGTTCAACAGGGCGACACCTGCCAGACCTGTCCCCGTTATCTCGTATGCCCTCTTGATGGGTATGAACACTTGGGCCATAGGAAAAAAACTTAGATAAATATAAATATGTGTATAGACACATAAATATACAAAGAGATGTTTAACCCACTTTTCATTAAAGTGAACAGTTTTCCCCTGTCATGTTAGCAGAGATGAAAAATGATTTAAACTTCTTCTCAATTTTGTGTAGGAAGCAAACCTCCTTCAAGGGGTGACCCAGAAAGGTCGTTTTCTTTTTTAATCTAAAGTGCACACAATGGTCATTGACTGTTTTACCGTAGCTGCTACAGGCCCGAGCTGATAGTCACTTCCAGCAGAGGGCCCTGCCCGCGGCCTTCCAGGCATGGAGAAGACTCTGGCGCTGGCACCAGCAAGAAAGTGTCCTTAACGCGAGAGCAGCGCGCTTTCACAGGTACACGGCGGGGGGCAGTGTCTGGGGTCTAATTTTCCACCCACACAGCCATTTGCTTTGCCTTTCAGCCTCCCAGGCCTGTGGGCCCAGGTTTTCCTTGGTTTTTCCGGTAACGTGCCTGCATTGATTCCGTGTAGCAGGAAGACAGCTGTATTTTCCCCTGGGAAATCTTTTGTCCATTTTTATTGCGAATGCTTTCAAAACGGCCTGGGTTTTATGCCCCTTCTACCATTTGAAGCCGCAGTGAGCTCCATTAAAGCTGCCCATTAGCTCTCTGGATCAGTGTGGTCAGACCTTGCCTTGCTCTGGCAGGCGTTCTGGAGTGTGATTTCCGTGAAACGTTTTGTTCCTGTTCTGCTAGACCTGGTTTTTTTGAAGTCGTGAAATTAGGACAGTCAAGGAGCAGAGCTGAGTCTTCTTAGCTGCCAGCGGGGCAGAGATGTACGTGGAACGTAATGAAGTGGTTCATTGCTAACTCCCTGTCTGCCACTATGCCAGGCCTGACCTGATGGTAGAGAGGAAACTGATAGACAGACTCTTTGGCCTATGACATCATCATCTTCCTCGATAATTCCCTTCTGCCGGCAGTCCTGAGACAACAGGTTCGAAGCAATACATGGCTCGCCCATGTAACACAAACAGTACTTAGCAGAGCCAGGGTTGAAATTCAGAGCTCCTTGATTCCAAAGTCCAAGGAGGAGGAGGAAGATCTTTTTAGTGACTTTGTGGGAGATGAGGCTGTCACACAAGAAGCTGTTGAACAGTTCAGGAGAACAGATCCTTGTGTCCTCAGTTGAGTCAGACACAAGGTCTAGAGCTCAGAGCTAGTGCTGAGGCTGGAACCTGGGGGAGGCCTGGCTGTGAGCCACGGGGGTGAGGATGGATGGCGGGAGTGGGAAGGATGAGGAGGACCAGGCTGAGGGGGTTGCTTGATCCTATAGGTAATGAACAGACGTTTGTGGGGCTCAAACCCACAACCTTGGCGTATCAGGATGCTGCTCCAACCAGCTGAGCTACCCCGCCAGGGTATCTGGCTGCTTTTAAAGTTCAGTGGAATGTGTTTGAGATTGAGCCATGTTGTATGTTATCAGCAGTTCAGCCTTTTATTGCTGAGTAGTATTCTGTGGTATGAATGTAGGACAGTATTGATCCAGTTAAAATAGGAGTTGTTTCCTGGGTTGAGCCGTTACAGATAAAGACGTGGTGAACATTTGTGTTTGCGGACTGTTCTTCTGTCGTTGGATAGACATACCTAGCATGTGCGTATAGGCGGTCACGTCATTTTATGTTGCCATCAGAAAAGATGAGAATTCTAGTCGCTCTACACCCTCTCAAACATTTGGTTTTTACAGGCTTTCTAACTCAGCTGTTCTGATAGGCACGGGGTGCTCATGTCCCTGACGACCAGTGACGTGAGCATCACCAAAGCCCGATCCGCTAGGAACAAAAGCCGTTGTTCGACCAAGTCAGACCCAGTGTAGGAAGTCCGAGTGCCGCTCCACCTGAGGGAGAGGAGTTTGCAAGGTTCGGGTCCCTTCTGAAGGATTCCTCGGGGGTTCAGCGAGAAACTGGGGTCAGTTTGGGGTTGGTTGCTACTTCTGAGGCAGGATTAGGAGGGACAAGAAGTGGGGATCCCCTCACCGGGAGCCCTGCCATGGGCCTCCTCGGGAATCAGTGAAAGCAGCGGAGCTCGTCTGGGGGTCGTGACTCCCCGTGGCGTTCCAGCTGCTGGGAGACCGAGGGGGAAGCTGTCTCCCGGCAGCTGCTTGACCCGTGTTTGTCCTGCCCGTCGGACTGAGCAGCGCGGCGGCTCAGGTTTTGACTCCCTGTCTTTTATCATGTGTTTATAGACTGCAGGTTTATCTTTTGTGAAGTGCCCATTGAAGTCTTTTCTCTGGCTTTGAAAACATTGGGTTATGTGTCTTTTTATTATTACTGATGTATAGTTCTTCATATATTCTGGATACAAGTCTAAGGTCAGATATATATACATATTGAAAATATCATCTTCCAGTATATGGCCTGCCTTTTCATTTTCTAATAGTATTTTTTTTTAAATGAGAGCACGTGGCTTTGCCAGTGCACAGCCCCTGGTGGCTGTTGACCAGTTGTCCCAGCACTGCTTTTGTGGGCTTTGACTTCGTCGCGGTGGGCAGCTGGGCTGAGGCCGAGGTGACAGAGCAGTGGTACTAGACCTGTCTCCCCGTCTCCCTCTCCTGGGACTCGGGTTTTAAATGCCGCCTCCTGGGTGGCCTCAGACCTTTTTGGTCAGCCCTGGGGGCCAGGCATCTGTTTCAAGCCACTTGCTCCAAGGAGTTGTGTCCTGGCTGGTCAGCATGGACCGGGACGGCTCTCACTGGAATCCTTGGCCACTGTTGGCAATTCAACGTGGAGCTGCAGGAGAACAAGGGTTTCAGAGTCGGGGTCTTTTTCAGACTGTGTGCCTGGCTGGCAGCAGAGATACTTGGAAAGTATTGCGTTGTTTGTGGGTTTTTTGACCACTGCTTTCTGCTTTCCTTTTCTTCCCCTTTTCTTTCTCCCTCTCTAAGTTTATTTGCCTCTTAATAGCACAGTGTAAAAGGAAGCATACACTTAGAACTTTTCATTCTTTTCCAGTTCAATTTTAAGTGCTTTACTACTACTACTCCTCCTACTACTATTATTATTTTATAGGGAGACATTAGAGAAGCAAGTATTTGCGATTTGGTGGCAGAAGATGTTTCGGCATCAAGAAAACCGCTTGGCAGAGAGAATAGTAAGTGGTTTTCCCCAAGGAGGTGCCTGGGACAGGCAGGACCCATTTCAGGCCTCTGCATTCGCTGCCTCCCCGTCAGGACACCAGCTGGAGCCCAGACCCTCACTGGGGACAGCCTGCCTGGGACGCACAAGAAGGGCCAGCGTCTGGGGGTCTGTTTCCTTTGCACAGTGGCTTCTGGGCCAGGGCAGCTGGCTCCCGAATGTCCGTTCTTTTGTACTGGTCATTATTTGTAGCCTCTAGATTCTTCTGGCTTCCGGGTTTCCTCCTACTTGACCCATTCAGTGTTCTCCCGTCCTGCGGCAGGCCATCCTTCACGCCGAACGGCAGCTTCTGCGGAGGTCCTGGTTCACGTGGTGGCAGCAGGCGGCAGCACATCGACAGGAGCGGCAGCGGCAAGCAGTGGCCTGGGCCCACCACCGCCAGGGGAGGCTCCGGAAGGCCTTCTCCACGTGGAGGGAGAGAGCCCGAGGGCTCAGATCAGAGTGAGTGGGCGCTTCTGCCGGAGCAGAGTGAGTGAAAAGCTTCTGCCTCAGACTGGCTTTGGTCAGAGTGGCAGCACTGTCAGATCCGAGTGCCCGGCCAGAAGGTTGTGTCAGCCTGGACTCTGGTTTTAAGTTCTGGAAATTTCAGTCCAAAGCAGTCCATTCGAAACCAGGGCTGTGGCAAGAGGATCCTGGAACATGAGGGGGACAAACATGCCTGTGGATCCGAAGTCCTGTCTATGGGCTGCACCCCACTGCTGCTCGGGGCCCATGCAGAGTGACTGTGGCCAAGGAATAGACTAATGGGCTTGTTGGGGCATAGCTGACCCCGCCCCCCCAGGAGCCTCGGCTGTGGCCAGTGGGCACGGTGTGGCAGTGTCCACCACAGCATTTGGTTAGTGGGGCAGGACGGGCAGCCTGCGTTCCCACTGCAGACACTGTCCTGCTTTGGTGCCTTTCTGCATCCACTTTGTGCTGGGAGGTCCCCCACCTCTCAGGCTCTGGCCACATTTAACCTGCACAGTCACCTGCACGTGAACAGGCTTCGGTGGTACTTGAAGCCCCGTGAGGCAGCCTGAAAACTTGATTACACGTGCGCTTTCCCAGGACAGCCCAAATCCTCTGGCGGCTGTTTGGAGCGGATCTTGACTCTCTTCCAGATTTAAGAACTGCTAGGGAGGAGCCAGGGATGGTGAGGCAGCCCCCCCGACCCCGAGGGCCCCAGCCATCGCTGGGCTGCGTGGGCTGCAGCGCTGAGCTCTCACTCCCCCCACAGGAAGAAGGGCGTGGTTCTGGCTGCAGACTTCCGCTCGGCACGGCTCCTGCGCTGGGCCTGGAACAGGTGGATGGAGGTGAGGCTTGGCACAGGTGCCGCCCACATGTGACTTGTGGACAGGTGGGGCTGTGCGTCAGTGTGACTCAGCAGCCGTATGGGCTGCTCCCCAGTCCCTCTGAAACCACCTGCCTGTGTAGGGAAGAGGCCAGGCAGTGGATGAAAACCGTTCGCCTGGTTTCATGAGACGGTTGGCTCAACTGTCTTGTTCTGTTATGGGCTAGGCTATTCTTATCTGAACTTACTGAATCTGAAATTCCTGGTCTGGCCACTGATCCCCACCCTACTCTGAGCAAAGACGTCTGTGCTGACCTTGCTGGAGCATTTATCCTAAGTCGGGCACTGGCCCCATGTAATCGCAAAACCCCCAAAGGTACCTATTTATAGATGAGGAAGCCGGGCTCCCGGGTTTCGATCCTCACCCAGGCTCATCCAAACTGCGTGTAAAATGGAGGTCAAGCCGAGCCCGTCCTCCCCGGCCCTGCGTGGCCGGCTCTCTCTTCTGCCCGCAGTGCCTGGCCCTGCGGGGCGCTGAGCAGCAGAAGCTGATGCGAGCAGACCTGCATCACCAGCACACCTTGCAGCACAGGGCGCTGCAGACCTGGGGGGTAGGAGCTGCTGCCTTCCCTTTGTGGGCTTGCCTTTGGGGGAGGGGGATGCTGAGGACTGTCTCCCTTCTTGGTTCTTCCTGCCCCGCTCACAAAAGAGTAATCCCACCATCCTCAGAGCAAGCGCCCTGGACAGTGGGTCTTCCAGCCATAGGGCTAAGTTCTTCCACACTTGCTTGGAAAATGCAAACAAGAAAAGTAAAAACAAACGCTGTCTGGGGACCCCAGCCTTACTCTCAAAGTGGCCCCTGGTCCAGCAGTCCAGTGGTCTGACTTAGGAGGAGAGGACTTAGTGAGACAGTCCCCTCCCTGTTGTGAGGGTGGTCTCCTGGCCTGGGGCCTTTGGTCTCTCCCCACCCTCTGGTGAGTGCTGTTAGCATCAAAGTCCCTGCCGAGAACCTGAGGCCTGCCTGGGAATAGCACCCAGGGGTGGCCTCCAGTCCTGGTCTCCTACAGACTTACCAGAGCCGGGTGCGGAGCATCCTACAAGAGGTGGCGGCCAGGGAGAGCCGGCACAAGAGGCAGCTGCTGCGGTGAGTCTGCCAGCGTCTCCCTGGTCCAGCATGAGGATCGGGGAGCAAACTCCAGACCCACGCAGGATGGGGGCTTTGTCCAGGGCCAGCACCGGATGGGCCTGGCTGCTTCATGCTGCTCATAGCATAGCTTTGGCTTTTCCACAGTGGGCACCCCATTCACTGGTTCACCTCTTATGTCTGGAGCCCCTGCTGTGTGCAGAGTGGGTCCTCGGGGGAGCAGCTCTCACTCGGATGTCTGTGAGACCTCCCACTAGTTTTACTCCTCTGAGCGCTCCCCCCACCACCCTTTTCAGACCAGAAAGATTCACTTCTCAAGGCACCATTTTAGTACCTGTCCTGCTCTGCAAGCTGCAACGGCTCCCTTGGCCTCTCAGTTCCCAGTCCGTTGCCTCCCCCCTTGGCCTTTCAGACCTTCCGCTGACTCTCCAGAGTCACCATCCCATCTTAGGACCTTCTGCATCTGTGACGCCCGTGGAGGTCACCTGCCTCGGCTCCAGCTCCTGCATGAGCTAAGCTCTAAACTCGCTTGTCCGGCAGGCCTCCCTCCTTCCTCTCTTTCCTTCCTTCTCCACACTGCCCAGGGGTGGTGGGCCTTGTGGACTCAACACCACTCTCCCTCCTTCAGTATCCCATGAAGTGTCCACTCAGCTCCTCAGAGGGGCACTGAAGGAGGGAGCCCCTGGACTGACTCAGCACTGGGCGGTGCCGAGGTCCCGCTGCCCTCCCTCCAGCTGCCCATCTCTGTAGCTCCCTCATCACAGTGTGAGTCACGGCCTGCCATCGCATGGCTGTGTCTCTGTGTTCCCTGTAGCACCTAACTGTGTGAGGGTGTGGAGTTTGGGCTCGTTAACCACGATGTCCCCGTGCCTGGCCCAGGGCAGCTGCTCAGCACCCGAGAGTTGCACGTCTGCGTCAGGGTAAACATCGGCGAGAGGGATGCTCTGCAGCACAGCGTGTCCTGGATTCCGGGGAGCGCTGAGGAGCCAGGAGTGGTTCCCAGAAGCCTCTCGTGCTCTCCCCACACCCGTGTCACCCCCCGTCCTGGCCTGTGTACCTGCAGGGATGTGTTCCATCGATGGAGAGAGAACACTGCAGCCCGTGTGGATGAAGCTAAGAAAACCTGTCGAGCCAGAGCTCACTACAGGAGGACCCTGTGTTTCAAGGTGAGGCCTGGGGAGGCCAGCGGTCACCTGGGAGGGTGGGGACTGTGCTCCTGCAGGGCGGTGGCGCCAGGGATGTGAACGGAAAAGGAACCTAGAGAACGGGATGACTCTCCTCTGCCGGGTGAGCCACTGGGCTTTACTTATTATGGGCTTTACTTAATATGAACCAATATTTATGAAGGCAGAACACGGCATGCAGTGAGTAAACTAGTTTGTGTCAGAGCCAGCATTTTGCACACGTGGACTTTTCCACTGGGACAAACCATTTATAATCGCGTCTCCACATCGGTCAGAAGATGACGCTGGCTCCAGCTCGTCAGCCTCGCAGGGTGTTGGGCCTCGGGACTTTCTGGAAAGCGTGGAGCATCCCGTTTGGTCACTGTTAGTGCGAAGTGGCCCCAAAATACCACGTGGTGGGGTCTGGTCCCCATGTGCTGGGCAAGGGGCGGGGGTGGTGGGACGTGGCCATGGGAAGACAGGTGGGACTCAAAACAAATGAAATGGCAGAGGTGGTCCCAGGACTCAGGGGCACTGGCCGACAGCGGCAGGTTGGAGCCCGGCTGGCAGGCGGGCCGGCTGCTCCCAACAGCTCTGCAGTGTCTGGAGCAGAAGAGTGCGCACGGCCTCCGATGCCCAGTCTGTCCGCAGGAAAGCGCCTCGGCCAGCGTGCGGTTGCCCTGCTCTGGGGGCAGGGTCAGCACTCTGCTCGCCTCCAGGGCTCAGAAGGGAGGAGGCCTTTCTGGGGACCAGGCACCAACCAGGCGTCCCCTGGCTGCTTGACTCCTTTTTAAAGTGTTGTTAGTGTGATTTCGTCAATCTCACATACAAAAGACTGCGTGTAATGTGTAGTGTCTGTTTAACGAATACAGCAGAATGACGTCTAATTCCTTCTGGTGGAAAAGGTACATCACCTGAGCCACTGGGCCTCCCGTGAGGGGATGGGCCCTGCCTGCAGCTCCCAGGAATGCGTCTCAGCGCCGTGTGTCCGCCACTCGGCCCCCTTCCCTGAGGGGCTGCCAGCAGAGCTGGGTGTCCCCAGGATGTCAGGACATGCTGTGGTCACTGTCCCTTAGGTCTTGATCCAGTGGCGGGAGGCCGCGTCAGTGCAGATATACTACCGGCAGCAGGAGCACTGCGCCATCGGGGAGGCTCAGAAGGTGCTGGACAGGGGTAAGTGGGGGCCCTGGCAGCCGAGGAAAGGATCGTGAAGGGCCCAGGCCTGTCAGGCTGTGCTGTTTGCTTCCCTTTAGTCTTTGACTCCTTCATGTGCATTAGTTTCCTGTTGCCGAGGTGACAAAGCACCAAAGGCTGGGAAGTTTAAAGCATCAGAAATTTGTTCTCTCGGAGTTCTGGAGGCCAGTTCCAAGATCAAGGTGCTGGCAGGGCCATGCTCCCTCTGAAGGCTTAGGAAGAATCCTTCCTTGGCTATTCCAGCTTCTAGGGCTCGCAGCGGTCCTTGCTGTTCCTTGACTTATAGACACATCACTGTAGCACATGGCAGGCCCTGGGACTGCCCTGTCCACTAAGGATAGTACAAGGGACTCGGGAGACTTGAAACTGTGTTCCCAGCGCATTGCAGACGTGCATTCTATACCCATGGGGCTGTTTCTTGGCTCAATGAAGGCCTCTCTGTTATAGGCACAGCTTGGCAGTCCAAGCGTGGGGCTGGGGGCTGGGGGAGGACCAACTAGGAGCGAGGTGTCGTGGTTAAAACAGTGTTTCAAAGTGCAGGCAGGAGTCGAGTGCTGGCTATGCTACCTGGGGCAAGTCCTCGGCTCTGAGCCCCAGTTTCTCCATCTGTAAAGTGGGGATATGCAGCCTGTCCCTTGGGGTTGTTATGAGGACCCAGTGAGACTGATATATGTGTGCTCACAGCAGGGCCTGAAGTGGTCAGCATTCAGTGCTAACGCTTGGCCTCTAGGCCGCGAACGCTGTCCCCTGACCCCCCAGCGGGCACTGGAGGGTACCCCACCTGGGCATCAGCGCTCCTCTCTCAGAGCCCAAGAAAAGGAAGAAATCCAGAATAAAAAAACAAAACAGAAGAGGGTATTTCCTCCAGAGGGAACCTGGCGACACACACCAAATGCAGGATGCCGGCCCTGCCTGGCTCGGGCTGCTGGACTTCTGAGCCGCGGTTTCCTCCCTGGCAAGACAAAGCCACTGCCTCTCACCCTGTCAGACCTCTGGGTCGCCCAGCAGCATCAGGCACTTGGGGGACCCTGGCACACTGTGGTCCTCGTGGCTCTGGTGGGCTCTCGGGCAGGTCACGACAGCAAACAGACCTGCTTCCAGTGCCCAGGGAGCTCACAGTTGCTAACGGTGGCCATAGCTGTCCACAGAGGAAAATCCACGTGTGGTGGTCTCACTGGGTGTGGGCAGACACCCCAACTTCCCCACACAGCCTTCTCCACTCTGCTCTCTAAGCCCTGCCCTGACACAGTTCGCATAGATCCTACAAAAGAGCAAACTGACTCGGACCTGCCTTAGGCCGTCTCAGGACCTGGTTTCGGTGCTGGCGAGATCGAGGCCGGAGGGCAGCCCAGCAGCGAGCCCAGCTGGAGAGAGCAGCGCAGCATTACCGTCGGCAGCTGCTGCTGCGGGGCCTGGCCTGCTGGAGGTTGCACCATCTGGGCTGTGTCAGGAAGAAGGTGAGGCAGGCAGCTGCTCCCCTGTGTGGTGCAGCCGTCCAGGCCAGGAGACCACCTCCCAGGGAGGAAGAGGTCCTTCCTGCAGAACTCACAGCAGCCAGTATGGATGCTGGGCAGCCAGGGGTCCTGTGGGCACAAGGCTGTCCCAGCCTTTCTGGGATGCCTGGGGGGACACCAGCCTCTGACTGGGTCTTGTGCTGGTGGATGATGGGTCAGCAGAAAAACCCAGTTTAGTCTGCGTCACGGCTTGTCGGGGCCGGAGGACCTGTGGAATCATCTAGAAGCCCCTGCCTGGTGCAGGAGGCCCCTGGCTTCACACAGGACACCTGGTGATAGGAAGACCATTCGCTTGGGTGGGGAGGCTGCAGTCTGGGTGTGAGGCACCTGGCGACACTCAGGCTGCTCCCTCTGCGCCCACTCTCTCCCCAGCTCCTGCAAAGGCAGGGGGCCCAACTCCTGGCGCAGACACTCAGCCGGTCCTGCTTCTGCCAGTGGAGACAGCAGGTGGGAGCTTTTGAGAAGCCCCTTCCCTCAGGGCTTGTCCCGCCACATGCCCCACCCCTCACCCCAGCATTTCTGGGCATTGCCAGCTTCCTTCCACCTGTGACTATATAAGGCCAGGTCACTTCAGGATCCTTTGCGTCACATTAAAAAATACAACAGTCCCTGGCTGGTGTGGCTCAGTTGGTTTGGTGTCATCGTGCAGGGTGAAAGGGTCACCGGTTTAATTCCCAGTCAGGGCACACGCCTGGGTTGCAGGCTTGGTCCCCGGGTGGGATGCACGCAGGGGGCAACTGATGGATGTTTCTCTCACATATGTTTCTCTCCCTCTCCCTCTCCTCCCTACCTTCCTCTCTAAATAAATGAACAAAATCTTAAATAAAAAAAATACTTCAGGGCAAATGCAGAAATTAATGGGAGTTGCTTTTAAGTCTATGCAAGGCCTTGATAAAACGCCAGGCGGGACTGCATCCTGCTCAGCAAACCTTCACGTGCAGGGGTCCCTCTCGCTTCCCGGATTGCAATGTGGATGTGTCCCCAGCCTTTCTCTGGCCAGCCCAGCGTGCTGCCCCCACGGATTCCCTCCCCTGGAGCCCTTTGCCTCTGTTCCTGCCAGAGGATCAGTTCCTGATCCAGCCCCTCAGGGCCTGGCAGAGAGGGGTCTGAGACAGTGACAGGGTCTCGTCAGGGTTGCTTCCCTGAAGGTGGCTTTTCAGTAATCTTTCCTTTCTGGCCCACAGCTGGCGAACAGGAGGCAGGAGCAGCAGAGCACAGCACGAGCCCTATGGTTCTGGGCCTTCTCACTGCAGGCAAAGGTACTGGGGGCTCCTCCTCATCCCACTGCTCAGCTACTCCCAGGAGAGGACTGAGCCTCGGTGGAGGGCAGGGTGGGTTGCGGGCACAGCCCCTGGGGGAGCCTAAGCAGGGAGGGCCAGGCCTCACCTTCCCCTACCCCACCCCCGCCGGAGGTGTGGGCTGCGTGGTGGGGTTTTGTGCTGGAAAGGAGGAGGAAGAAGGCGAGGCTGGAGCGGGCAGTGCAGGCCTACCACCAGCAGCTCCTCCAGGAGGGCGTCACTTGCCTCCTGCGGTTCGCCGCCGGCGTGAAGACGCTCCGGCAGCAGCTGCATGCCCGGCAGCAGGTGCAGGTAGGCCCAGGGTCCCCCGCCCTTCTAAGGGGGAGTGGGCAGGCCATGGCGGGATCTGACAGAGGCCATTTCAGGCGGCCCACAGCCTCCACCGGGCAGTTCACCGCTGTGCCATGCTGTGGAAACAGAAGGTGCTGGGCCCAGGCAGGGCGCCTCAGCCCCCCACATCCACCGTGTCCAGCAGGAGGGTGACATTCAAGGGTCCCCTTCCCAACCACATCGCAACTGGTGCTGGGGATGCCGCCCTGGAGACTGAGAGGCCACAAGCTGCTCACAAGCTGCAGAGAGCTCTGGGTGGCCTGGCCCTAGATGCCGGGGAGCCCCAACTCCCGGAGCTGTGAGTAGCCATCCATCAGGGCCGTGGCTGACCTGCTGGGACTCCTCTCTAGCAGGACCTGTCCCTACAGACTGTCCCTCCCAAGCTCAGGGAGAGGACACAGCACGAGGAAGAGCATTAGGGCCCTCCTGCCTTCCCGCCCCCAGACCTGCCAGCGTTCCTCTCCTCCCCTAACATCCAGGAAACAGGGCTCCCTCTTGGACACCCCACTTTTTACACCCTAGTCCCTGCCCCATCCTGGCAGACCGCTGATGGCTTCAAGTGCCCAGTGCTGAGCCTGGGGAAGGTCACCAGTGGGGAGGGGCACTAGCCTGGACCTTAGTCTTGCTCTCACTATCTGCTTCATACCCTGACCCTGACAAGCTTCCTCCTGTGACATGGGACAAGTTACTGCATCATCACGGTTGCTGTCAAGCTCAAACGAGCTGACGTGGGTGTGAGGCACCAGATTCACCCCATTGGAATTGCTAGCTCTGTATGGCTCAGCCCCACCCCACCGCACCCGCTGACCTTAGGCAAGAGCCCTTCCTTCTCTGGCCTTTGGTCTCCCTGTGGGACTGGAGGGGTTGGACCGGGTGACTCGCTACCCCACAGAGGTCTCAGGCCCCCTGCAGCCCCTGGGCAGCCTGGAAGGAATAGGCCCATGTTTCTTCCCAGCAATGCTGTCCGCTCGGCAAGGAAGCAGCCACGACGCCCAAACTTCTTGCTGGATCCCCTGCAGAGCCAGAGGCCCCTGGCGTACGGCACCCTTGGGGGGCAGGGGTAGGTCGTATAGTCCTGGGCCCCCAAAAGCCTATGGTACCTCGATTTGGGGCCTGAGGGTGAATGCGCCCTCTCCTTCCAGCTCCTCGGGAAGGGTGCCGAGGCCTGACGTGCTCCTGCTCTCCCTCTGCTAGGCCCGAGGCGCCGAGGGGGCAAGGCCTAGGCATGGCCCAGCCAGCAGCCCCGTCCCTGACGAGGCCCTTGCTGGAAAAGGCCCAGACAGTACTGGTCCCGAGCAGCTCCCTGCCTCAGCCTGGACCCCTGCCAGGCGGCCCTGGCCTGAAGCTGTCCCCCATGGTGAACACAGGCCCGGAGCTGCTGCCCCCGTCCTCCTTCATGTCTCGTGGGGTGGAGGCACCCGCTAGGGTAAGTCCTCTCTGGCCACCTGGGGTCCCATCCTTTGGTCTGGTCTTCAGTGCCCTTGGTGCTGTAGCTACAGCTGCACCTACTGCTTCTGGAAGAATCCAATCTCAGGAAGAGGCAGTAGGGCCACTGTTCTGGGTACACGGTAGGGAACAGCCCCCAGGCCCCGCTCCGGAGGCTGTGTGTAACCCAGTGGCAGAGACGGGCTGCTGTGACCTGGAGGCCCGGCACAAGGCGCTGGCGGCAGCAGACGGGGCCGGAACTGGTGGGAGGCAGAGCAGGCAGGGCTTGTTCCGATGGGCTTGATACGAGTGAAGGAAGGGCTCTGGCCTGGATAACTCAAGGAGTAATGAGTTCTCTCACTGAAAGAAGGAACACTGGGGGGCCCATTTGGGTGGAGTATTAAGTGTTTTGAACCTCTCAAATTTGAGATAAAGCAACAGGACCGTGAGCCAGGTCTGGAGATCAAAATTGAGAACCAAAATCAAGGAGTCAGGGCAGGGAGGAGTGAGAAATCCCGAGTGCCCCAGAGCTGAGGAGACAGGAGTGGGGAGGGGCGGGCGACATCTTTCTCACCAGGAGGGAACGGGAGGAATGGAGGCAGGTGGCTGGACAAGAACCATGGTCTCCGAACACTTTCTCACTGAAAGGTCATAGCTCAGAGTGGGGCAGGGGTGAAAGGTCAGGAAAGCTTGAAATGGCTGTTTGGCTGTTTGGAACTGCAGCACCAGGCCCTGGGAAGGGGTGGGACCAGACTGCAGAGGTGTGGGGTGCTCGGTGTCTGGTCCTGAAGGGAGGAGGATGGGCCAGGACTCTGGGTGGACTGGCTGTGGGAAGGCCCAGCTCCTGGGGCCTCACCTACCCCCCCCCTGCAGCCTTCACACCCTGTCCCAGGCCTTCCTCCCGCTTCCCTGCTTAGTGTCCTTCCTTCCTTTACAGACATCAGTGTGGCTGACCTCCCCTGGCTGTGTGCCCCAGGCCTCTGTAGGGCCAGCCAGTGTCCCTGAGCCCCGTCTACTCCTTCCTGGGGACCTCACAGGCACCGGGCCTGGCTCTGAAACTGCAGGTGTGCGCCTGAGGTCTGTCAGCACAGCAAGCACCTGGGCCACTCCCAGCACCTGGACTCCCTCCATTCCACCTGGACCCAGCCAGGAGGGTGGTCAAGATCAAGCCTGCTTTCCTGCTACTATGGGCCATACTGGCCTGGAGGCTGAACTTGAGGACATCCAGCGGCAATTGCAGGACTACCAGAGCATGAAGCAGAACCTCAGGTAAGACCCAGGAACACCCCTGCCCACAGGGAACAGCTGGGAACTGGCTGCCAGGGCGCTAGGGCTGATTCGCCTGCACTGTGCACTGCCCACCCCCCCACAGGGGGCACCTTTACCCCTCCAGTCCTCCTTAGGAGGGCTGGTTTGGCCTTACCTGTGGGATAGAGAGACGACAAAGCTGAGCAACACTTTAAACCTGAATGGGTCATGTGATGAAAATGTGCAAAGACAAGCCTTGGCCCCAGGTGCATGCAGTGGGCTGTCCTGGCTTGCCTGTGCTCTGGGTCCTGAGCCCGCAGCCTCTAAGCCCAGACCAGGGGCCCTCACCATAAGCAGCATCTGTGGCGGTACAGGGAGGGGTTTCCCCCTGGGCCCATCTGAGGTGCCATCTGCTGGGCAGAGTGGAGGCCGGGAGAGGAACAGGAACAACCCTCCTCCACTCCACCTGCCTTAGTAAATCGCCCATGTGCTTCACTCCAAGCCTGGGCCTCCACCAAGGGCCCAGCCAGGCTCACAGCAGGTGTCTCACTGCCTCAGGTCCTACCAGCGGCAAGCGAGCAGCCTGCGCCGGTGGCTGGAGCTGAGCCGGGAGGAGCCTAGGCCTGATGACCAGGAAGCAGAGCAGCAGGTGCAGGAAGAACTGGAGGAGGTGAGGTCCCACACAGTCCTGGGATGGGCTCTGGATGTGCTTCCTCTCAGCTTAGCCTGTCCCTACCTGGCCCCCAGGTGGAACTGCAGATCCGACAGTTGGCTGCAGAGCTCCGGGCTCAGCGACAGCCCGTCAACGCCTGCATCGCCCGAGTGCAGGCACTGCGGCGGGCTCTGTGCTAGACCAGAGCCGCAGCCCCCTGGAGACCTTGGCCCCCCTCCAGGAACAGAATGCAAAGCTAAACTGAGTTTCATTTTTTATTTCAAAATGTTGCAATTAAATGAATTACTGTTCAGAAGTCTCCCACTTCTCATACAAAAATACTGAGCTACTGATACAGTTGAAAAAGTTCAAATGGCTTCTCCGGCAGGAGAAATTCAGAGTCCCCAGGAGACATGAAACCTGGCCCTGTCCCCACCATCACTGGCTTTCCAAGGACTGCATACCTATTACCTGGGGACAGGTTTTCTAGGCACTGACTCTGCCTCCCCACCCCGATACACCAAGGCTCCTTTGCCTCCAACATAAGCCTCTGAATCAATAGCAGCAACTTTCCCATATTTAATGTAGGTCTAGATCTGGGGAGGGGACACAAGCTCTCCCCTGGCCCCAGCATGCAACCACTACCTGCCTGCCCCATCCCTGTGGGACGCCAGTCAGGTGGCCTCAGTAATTGGTCTTAATGCTCCAGAAGGTCACTCACTGGGGTCTGCAAAGCACTGGCCATTAATCACCATCCTCAGAAGACACTGGCAGAGTCGGGTGATGCATTCAGCCACAAGTGTGAAGGAGAAAGCTTTTCCCAATGAGCAGGGGTGAATTGAGAAACAAAGCAGTTGCATTAAAGGCCATGTGGTCCTGCTCTGGGGGTAGGTGGGTCCACAGTCGGTGCCAGGAGGCACCTCACCTGTGCAGGTGAGGCCAAAAGCAGAGACGGGGGGAACAGCAAAGGTACATTACTACTTACCATCTTCGACGGGAACCAGGACCAACTGAATGCTCAGCCAGGAGACACAAGGTCTCTGGTCTACACAACAGGGGGTGACACCCTCTCTCCCCAAAAGGGAACCTCTGATCACCCGGGCATCCACTTCCTCTTTAGGGTGGGAAGAGGGGATGACGCAGGTCTAGGGCATGACGGGAGCGCTGACCTCATCTGCACCTTGGGGACAGCAGGAACGGAAGTCATCCGGGTCCAGCCCGGTCAGACTCCGTGGTGCTGAGTCCCCCACAGATAGCTGAGGAGGTTCCCCTCAAGAAGACTCCCACTTCTCTGTTCAGGGAGGGTCCCTCAGCAGCTGTAGCCAGGAAGGAGGCTCTAGAGGGAGCCCAGGCCCTCCCCGAATCGGATTTTCTGTCCTGCTTTCAGCTTGAAGTTGAAGTCCTTGGGGGCCTCAAAGATGAGCACGATGGTGGAGCCCAGGTTGAACTCGCCCAGGTGCTCACCCTTGCGCATGGGGATGCCCTCCTTGTTGGCGTGTGTCACGAAGCTGAAGTCGTTGTAGGAGCCCTTGCTGTACCGGGGGCTGTTTGTGTGCAGGTCCTGGGGGAGGCCGGGAGCAGAGCATGTAGATGCCTGTGATCTGGACCTTGAACGCATCTCTGCAGCCTGTCCCCAGCCCAGCTTAGAAACCTAGGGACTGGCTGTCTAACCAGACACTGCCCTACACCGCTACGAGCCGGGCCACTGAGGGACAGGGAGGGTCAGACCCGACTCACTTCCCCACAAAGGGTGCTGCAAGACCCGGGGACAATGGTCAGTCACAAACCAACACTGAGAGAGGCAGCACCTTAGGTGGGGCAGGCACTGGCCGTCTCCTCACACACTGGGCCTCTGATCAGCATGTTCCATCCAAGATCACCATTCCCCTCTGGTTCCCAGCAGAAGCAAAGTGCCAGGTGGGGAAGTTAATTGCCTCCCTCTCCAGCCACCTCCAGAGAGGGGCAAATTGGGGGTAGTAAGGGCAGAGGGATCCCAAGTGGCCTAGCACTTGGGCTTCAGCAGGGCCTGGGCTCTGCTTACCCGGTCAAAGTAGATGCGGATGGAGCCCACGTTGGTGGCGCCCACAGCTGTCAGCGAGAAGAAGCCGTGTTTCCAGTCCCCAGTCAGGACCACCCGCTCGTTGTGGCAGAAGAGCTCTTTGATCCAGCGGGCCATGCCGGGGTTCACAGACATGAGGGAGCCTATGGGAGCAGGGACACTGCTACTCCCCACCCAACAGGAAGACCAGCCTCGCAGGGCCCAGCTACTCCAAACCACAGGCGCTGTTCTCCAGCCACCCCACTCTGCCCACGCCCAGCTGGATTAAAGCAGTCAACTCTGGCCTCAGCACCAGAAATCTGCAGCCTGGGTCCCCTGAAACCTAGCTGAGAGCATCTGTCTGAGCCTCAGAGGCAACTCTCAGTCATGTGTCAGTCTTGGCCTACCTGGGAAGTGGCGCCGGTGGGACACGGTCCAGTCAGTGGGAGAGTGAAAGCAGTGGTAGTCCCCAGGGGCCAGGTAGATGACGCAGTGGTAGAGCTCGTTCCCTTCTCTGGTGACCAGCTGGTTCCTGAAGGAGCTGCAGGAGGTAGCTGTGGGGGGCAGGTGGAGCAGACCCGAGGGACAGGCTATGAGACAAGCACCCAATGCCTCCCAGCAGGGGGCCTGCACGCAGTCTGGACATAGGCTCCAGGGACACCCCAAAGCTCTGGGCAGAAGGACTCCTGGCCATCCCAGAGTCCCTCCCTCCATCCCCAACCTGCTCCCAACCTTCACCCTCTGAACTCCGGCCCAGCCACACTGCAGCAGGGCCACAGGCTATGACCAGGTAAGGACCCACCTGGTGGGAAGGACAGGTCCTCTGGAGAGGCACGAGGGCCCAGGAATGACTCCAGCGAGTAGGTGACACCCTTCACCTGCTCCACCTCAGAGTTCTTCACCTGCCCAAAGCTGAGGATCTTCCCATCCGATGGGCTGATCTGGAAGGGGACGGGAGAGTCTCACTGCCAAGGAGGGGAGGGGACCCAGCAAAGGAGGGGGGATGTGGACCTCCTCCTCCCCACTGCGGGTCCAGCCTCACCACACTGTGCAGGCCACACACAGGCCGGGCCTGTGGCTTCAGCTTGCGCCGGAAGAACTCGCTGAGGTTGCGGTAGTGGTGCAGGTCCTCCACGGCGGCCTCCTTCATGTTCACCCCGAAGGTCCAGATGTACAGGCTGTAGACGGGCCTGCGCAGCCAGTGTGGCAGCTCCACCTGGTTGAGACGGCCCCAGGCCCTCGACAGCAAGCGCGTTGGCACCGACTTGTACAAGGCCACCTGCAGGCGGATGAGACGGCCACTCAGCCCACTGTGCCCCAGTCAACTCCCTGCCACTGATGGGGCTGCCTCCGGGGGGTCTTGGGTACCCCACGCTGGCTTTCTGATGTGGCTGTTTCTCACTAGGAACCAGACTGAACCTGCCGACTGGTCTCAAAAACTGAGTACTGGCGAAACTGTGACAGTGATTTGCAAGCCCGGTGTTTTAGTCATTTTATGCACACAGAACTGCGGCCATCCTAGTTCTGCATTGATGAATCTGACACCATCAACAGGATGCAGCAGGAAGCAGTGTCTGTGTCCCGGACCACAGAAAGGAGCAGGACGCCCCAGGCAGAAAGCCCCAAGCACACGTCCCCGTCCCAACAGGAAACAGAACACACCCCCGCCAGGGTCAGGGACTCCGACATCATGCAGATGCGCAGTGTCACTGTCGCCAGGGCCCGGACACACCCTGCAGAGCCCTGCCTGACACTCAGAGGCACTCTGCAGTGATGCACCAGAACACAGCTGTTTGCACCTGAGGTTCCTCCCAGGAGGAACAAGGGAACCAGCCCTTATAGCCCAGCTCTCAGGGCCAGGTGACCCCAGGTGCTGACATAATGGGACCTGCCTCTACCTGGTCGCTGCTGCTTGCCTGAACACAACTAAGACACCAAGTCCCCAAGGTGTAAAAGTAATTTCACTCCAACTTTAAACACCTCTCAGAGGTACCGAATGAGTGGCTCCCAGAACTCATCCCTGCTGACACCTGTCCACTGGCCACAGCTGCTGTGCAACCTCAGGTCTCCTGGCCCGAGCACCTTAGCTTCAAGCCTTCGCTACACCCCACCTGGGCTGTCCAATACCCCAGGAGCAGGATCTCTTTCTTGGGGCCAGTCTGCCCTCCAGGGAACTGCCCGGGGCTCCCAGGTCCTCAGAGGCGTCCCCACCCTAAGGGGCCTAAATAGACTCCAGCCTTCCTGGACCACCCACCCTCTAGTTCCAGATTAGGAACTAATCTGGATTCTCCTCAAAATCACCTCTAAGCTCATTTCTCCTTGAACACAGGCAATGAGACAGACACCGTTTTCTGAATGCCCAGCATGGGTTCCTTCCAGAAACAGAGCCCCCAAATGGCACAAGGCGGGCAGAGAGCAGGCAGCGAGCCAGACCTCAGTCAACACGCCTTTTGCCAGCACCCTCCCGGAGGGCTCGGCTCCCACAGCCATCGCCTCTAATCTGACACTCGGGCTGCGCAGTGGCAGGCCGGGCCAGCAGCCTGCACACACTTACCCTGCTCACGGGCCTCCATCCCACCCGGCTGAGCGGTCTCAGGGCACCAAAGGGCAGGAGGTAGTAGAGGACCGTCAGAGGCCAGGAGCGCAGTTTCAGGGCAGGTCTGGACATGCAGCTTAACTGTCCCAGCCTCCGTCTCAAAGCCAGCTGGGGGAAGTGCAACCTGCAGGGCACATGTCCATGCATGACTGGGGTCACCAGCCAGAGTCTGGTGACCCCCAACCCACCCTTAGCAAGCTCACTTCTCAATGAAGTCTAGCAGCACTGGCCGTGCCCCCCACCCCAACCCCATTCTGAGGCAGGAGCCTGGTGGTCTCTGGTCAGCAAACCTGCTTCCCAGTCCTTCACGCCTGCCCGCGCTGAGACACAGAGCGTGGGGTCTAGCAGCCCTGGCGAGGCTCTCCAGGGCTATGCTGGCACCTGGGCCCAGCATAGGAAGACGGCGCAGAGCTAGCCTCACAGCCCCCACCCTCCTGGGGCCCCAGGGACCAGTCTGATCTCCCAGAGCCCTTCAACGTAGCTGCAAGTGGCAGTGGGGGAGCTATGCTACCATCCTGCTGCAGGATGGCCCCAGGCCTCCTCTTCTCTCATCTGATAAATGAAGGGATTGGGCCTGACAAGAGCTCAAAGGAAAACTCACACACCCCTAACCGCTACTACTCCATCCATCTGCACGGTCATTCTATGTCCGGTCAGGTTCTCAGATCCAGGAACTGGTGGGAGGAACCTGCCACCACCTCAGGCCATCTCTCAGGTCTGCTGGGGCCACACACCTAACCCAGGCCCCTCCTTTTGGCAAAAATGGGGGCCTTTTCACAAGCCCCACCAGCCTAAGCCTAATGCATTTAGCACAGGCTCAGCCTTTCCACCAGAACCTCCCGAGGCACATCAGAGAGGCCCAGGACCCCCATCACATGCATAAGCCCCAGGAAAGGATCCTCAGGCCCTGGTGTAGCCACCAAAAGACTACACTGCCACCCACTCTGGGAATGTCCCCAGGCCTCAGTTTCCTCATCTGCAAAAAGAATGCATTCAGCTGGATAATCTAAGGCTCCCATCCTGGCCTGTGCACTCTCAGAGAAGCTGGGTCCTCTGCCCCCACTTGCTGAACAAACCAAGGAACAAAGAGGCATCTCAGCTAATACTGAAAGCAGGAAAAAAAAATGGAGAACTGAGCCAAGGGCCAGGCCCAGTTCAGTGATTGGCAATGAAGGTGCTGCATCTCCGTTGCTCCCAAGATCCCTGCATTCATTCTCTCTCCCATCCCACCCTGCTGTTTTTAAAACATTTGGTGGGTGTTGGGGGCCAAACAAAACCAGACAAATCACTGCTCCCCCTCTCACTGCCACCACCCACCCTGCTCACTGCAGAAGCACAGGGACCAATCCCGGAAGTGCTGCCCCCAATGGGGTGGGGAGTAGCAGTTTGGATGCAACACAGGCACTGGGCCACCAGCCCGTCCGCCTCCCCGGGTACCTGAAGTGGGCTCTCCGACTCAGGCCCCCAGGGCCGGGCCCCTCCAACCTCGGGGGCTGATCCCCTGGGCCCCTGCCGCCACCTCCATTGCGGGACCGCTGGACATGAACTCTGACCTTGCGGAGGTCGTGGCGGGGCACAGTGGGGTTAGGAGGCCGCCAGCAGCATCTCACCATTTCGCCGCGCTGAGCTCTGGTCCTCGCCTTGCCTCTGACTGACACATGGTGGGCGGGCAGGGAGGGCGGCGCCAGCAGGATCGCCTTTGTTCCTCCTCCTTCCTCCCTTCCCCCCAAGGAGCTCCTGCGCTGTCACTGCTTCTGGGTGGCTGGTGGACCGCTTCCTCGGCTCAGAGACCACGGGCAGAGCTGGGGCTATTGCAAAGACAGGCACTGGTCACACACCTGCTTGGGCCTGCAGCACCACCGCTGGGTCCGGCCCATTCCGTCCCCAGGCTTGGCCACCTGCCAGCCCCAGTGAGCTGATGGCCAGCCTATGGCAGGGAGGGGACCAGGGCCCTCTGGGCTCAAAGAGCACAAGTGGGAATCTGAGCCTTGCACTCCAGGCAGGCACCCAGCGTCGCCCTGTCTGCAGCTTGGGCAGCCCCTCCCTTGCCAGGACCTGACCCATTTTCCATTCGGGTGACAAAGTACCATCTGAGGAATGAGGGAGAGAAGGTGGGAGAGGTGGGGCTCTTGAGACCCTGGGCATCTGAACAGCTCTGGCTCTCCCTCACTGCCCATGGCCCCTTCCTTAGAACCCCCCACTCTGGGCACTGACCCTTCAAGGGCTCCTCAGAAGATGAGCACCCAGGTGACATTAGGGAAAACCAACGAGGAGCTGGGAACAGGCCAGGACTGAAGTGCATACCTGCCACCACTCGCCATCCCCATCTTTACTTGGGAACAGGGGCAGCTCTCTGGCCAGGGGCCCGAGAGGCTGTGGGGAGGACATGCTGCCTCCACAAAGCCCTTACAGTTGCCTCGCAGATAACAGGGCAGGAGGAGAGCACACACTCCAGGCTGTTGCTATCTCAGCTCCGGGAAGTCAAGGCCCCAGGGAGGACGTCCAGCCACCTGGCCTCCAATCGCAACTGCAGGCTGGCACGGGGCAGGGCCCTGGCCATCTTTACATGAAGAAATGCAGCATAGGACAAACTCTGATGGCAGAGAACTGACCCAACCCAGGACCCCACATGACCAACGGGCTGTGGCTGTGCAAAAAGCCCCAACTCAGATGTGGCCTTATCACACAAGGGGAACCATCTGACCCCCAGCGAACCCACCTCAGCTACAGTGGTGGGAAGGTCAGCTCAGCACCTGCCAAGGGTGTCAGCGAGACTCCAGGAGTACAGGGGCCCACAGCAGTCAGGACACAGCTGCCTAAGGCCTAGACGAGGGCACGGGTCTCTGCCCTGACAGCGGAGATGGCAAGGCCTGGCTCATCCCAGACCAGAGCTGGTTCCGACACCTCTAGAAGCGCTTGTCTCCCCAGGCCACTGGCCTTGATGAGGGGCAGGGAGAGCTTGCTGTGGGTGGGCCAGGCCTCACGCAGAAGCAGATGAAGGCATATGCGTCCTCTGGCCCCGAGGGACAGACCCGCAGCCCACAGCACCAGAAGCTGGCAACCCTGCCCCCCCCCCCCCAGAAGCGAGGTTCAGGTGACCAATCACACCACACACATGCTGAGCACACCCCACCCCTCCCTGGCCCACCAGGCCGTGGCCTCACATGGAAAACAGGCCGAGAGGTGAGACAGGCAGTTGGGGTTGAGTCTGGAGCTTGGCTTCCAGGACGGGATTCTCTCTCTGCCTCTAGAAACCAGAAAGCTCAAACTGAACGCACACCTGGGATTCAATGGTAGGCAAGTCAGGCACTGGTCACACACCTGCTTGGGCCTGCAGCAGGTGTGTGACCTGCTTAGGCCTCCTCCTTGTGGGGAGGAGATGCGAGTCCCAGGCTCCTGTGGCTGGTTTTCCTCACTGTCCTACCACATGGGACGGTGACACTGCATGCAGTCAGGCACGTTCAAGAGCCCACGAACAAGCCCAGCTTGTCTAGAAACCTCAGGTCCTCGAAGCAGATGCTTGTGCTTGCATTTCATTGTCCCCCCAGGGCCTCCAGTCCCAGGGCTTGGCCAGGCGGCCTACCAGGGCAGGGCAGGTACTTGATTCCCCTCCCACGGTACAGGGAACTCAAGGGGGACCAGCCCAAGGAGCTGCTGTCCTAGAGGGTCTAGAAACTGCCAAGGGGCCCGGCAGGAGGTCCTTGCCTCCTCAGTCCAACCTATGCCACTCCTCTGCCTATTCTTCTAAACAGGACAGAGACCAGTGTGTCAGGCTTCTTCTAAGTCACCATCTGTGGGCCCCAAAAGGTCCCCAGGAAGCAGACATACACTCAGCTGTTTCCCAGGGAACAAGCCCAGCAGCTCCCCAGTCCAGCTTAGAGCTGCAGGACGGAGGCACGGGGGTCCCTAGAGGCCACTCCTCCTCACTTCCCAAGAGCAGAGCAGCCTACAGCCAACAGTGCTCCAGCCCCTCTGGCTCCCGGAGTGTTATTGGCAGCAGGGGAGGGGGGTTAGGTGGGGGTCGGGCCTGGATGTGGAACCTATAAGGAGGGTGCTTTGAAGTGGGGAAGAACGGACACCTTCCCTCTGAGAGTCTCAAGGCCTCTCTGTGGAGGTGAGTCTGGGGCTGTGACCAGTAGGACTTTAAAGTCATTACAAGGCCTAAGGGCCACATGGAACATGAGAACTCAGAATGGCTCTGGTGGGGGACAGGGACAATGTGGTCACCACAAATCCTGGCTGCCTTCCCACAGCCTGCCCTGAGTGGGGAGAGGCCCTGCACGTCACAGGAGCTCTCTGAATGGCCACTCTTCCCACTCACCGGGAAACTCTGGTCGGAGCTGTGACCACAGCCCAGCATAGCTCTGCTTAGAAACCCCGGCCCCCCCTCCCCCGAAGAGCTCAGTGAGGCCCCATCCTCCAAACCTGGCTCCCCACGGCTCCCCTCCCCTCCAGAGCCGCACTCAGGGATGTGTGGGGGGCAGAGGTTTCTCCACTGCCTGGACGATGGGACAGGGCAGAGGCTGGCCCTGTGAGGAGGCGAGGGCCCAACAGGACCACTGGTGGGGGAGGATGTCACCTTTGTCAGGAGCAGCTGCTCTAGGGGTTCACACCAAGCAATGCTGCAATGTCCCCTCCACCCCTCACTAACCAGGATGAAGGAAACAACCCCCCCCCCCAGTGGAATGGAACATTCCAACTGAAGTAGGATGGACTGACCCAGGCCGGTTACCAGTTCCTACAGGTGGGGGATGGGGCGGGTGCACTCCTGCCTGGGCCCCCAGGACCCTGGCAGATTCAGGGTTGAGTATCAGCAAGGCCAGGAAGGCAGTGAAGGAGTCAGGGTTGTTCACTCCTCGATCCCGCCTCCCCCCACCCCCCAAACTCTCCCTGGGTACACAGGGCCTGGCAGCCCTGCTCATGTCCAGCCTGAGGCCACTGAGAATGTGTGTCTCCTCTCTGAGTGGAAACCTCACTGGGCGCCAGGGTCACCCCTCTAGAAGCCTTAGCAGAAACCCCAGTGTCCACAAAACACGTGTCTCTCAGCCTGACCTAGTGCGTGTTCCCACCCGGAAGAGCAGGGCTGTTTTCTCCCCTTGTTCCCCCGATGCATGGCCACTGGGCAGCTGTGTCCAGGTGGGGCCACCAGCCCTTCCTCCCCTGAGTTCCAGGACTAGAAAACAGACAAAACTTCACAAGTAGGGAACACGGAAATGGACCTCCCCAGTGAAAGGGTGAGCCATCTTGGGGAAGCCCTGGGCAAGAGAAGAGGAAGCGGAAAGATGGGCCCCAGAGCGCCTCTTTCAAGCCGGCGGAGGGAGGCCCAGGGAAGGACGGGTGGAGCTGGGGACAGGACTCTCCCAAAGGACAGGACTCTCCCCTCAGGCAACCCCTAAAGCCCGTGGGCAGCAAGTCTCTCCCTCCCTGCCCTTTGGGAGGTGACCCAGTGACAAGTACTGACACTTCCAGGTCCCACTGAGGAACAACAGTGCAGCGAATGTCCCCGCTGAACACCTGCCCCAGGCACTTTCAGCAGCGGGGAGCAAATCCTGAGCTCTCGGCTCTGAGGCCAGGAGATGCTACAGGATGTGGAGGAAGTGAGCTCATCCAGGCGGCCCCATGACTGCCGTGCGGGCTGGGGAAGCCCACAACTTGGTTGAGACTATGGGGTGGGCTCCTCAGGCCCCAGGGCCTCAGCCTCCAAGCCATAAAATTGTGCCCCGAACCGCAGGGAGCTAAACAGCTCACCGGGGTCTGAAAGTGGCCTCCCAGCCGGGTGTCCCGGAGAAGAACCCAACTCACTCACACGCAGGTGGTCCTGTCCTCCCTCGGCTTCCGGCTGCACCCGACTCTGGGGAGGTGCTGCTCCTTCAGGAAAGCCTTGGGTTGGTGGGCGGGGACTCGGGCTCCAGCCACTCAGACAGTCGGGGCGGGGGCAGGAGGGTGGACAGCAGACAGCTGGAGCTTTGCTCCGCCCCCCAGCCTAGCCCTGCCCGGCTGCCCAGGGGCCCCTTTAAGGGGGAGAGGGGACCAGCTCCCTGCGGATCCGTCAAGGGACTTCCCCAGTGACACTACCTGGGTTGGGAGTCAGCCTGTCCTCAGCAGGAGCTAGTCTCCTGGGGCGGCTACCTCCCTGACACTCCCCTCCACGGCCTCCCTCATACATGCCTCTCTGGACAGGCTGGGCCTTCAGGTGCTGGCCAGCTTCTCAGGACTGAGTAGATCTGTGTAGCTCTCCAAGTGAGGATGTGAGACAGAAGGTATCTAAGTCCTCGCTCCTTCCCATACTTCATCCTCAAGACACAGGATGGCCCTAACACAGCTTCCTTTCCTCCAGGCAGACACACTCCTCACATACAAAATCCCCCTGCAGACCAGCAAACAAGACCCAGGGGGCAAGGTCCACCCTACTGGGCCGAACACGCAGGATGAAGAACACGTCGGGTATCTCTGTGCCCTGCCCTTTTAAAAAACTTTATTTTTCAATTAACAGCTGACACTCAACATTATTTTATATTAGTTTCAGGTGTACAGTATAATGGTTAGACAATCACATAGTTTACAAAGTGATCCCTATGTGCCTTGTTTTTCTACCCCACCAGGTAGAAGAGCCCTAACCTGTGGGGCCAGCACCCCACCTGCACACCCACCAATCCGCATGGGATGGAATGAAACAGCTTAACATTTCTTACCAGGGGTAAGGTCTGACGGGGAAGACTGTTCGGACAAGACAGGGAGCCAGGTCACTGGCTGTGCAGGCCACGCCCAGGGCAGCCTGCCACCCAGTGGTCACACTGCCTCAGAGGCTCATTCTTCTTGCTCAGACTTCGGAACAAAACCCAACCCCAGCTTCTTCCACTGAGAATGTAGTATCTAAGGCAATGTTTAGAAAGGTAGAGAGTGCCTATAGGGCCTGTGAAGAGATGGGTGGCCGGGCCAGGGCAGCCTGGAACAGGACGCACTGGCGTGCAGACACAGGCCACATACCTGTCTTCCTTTGGATCCAGCCCAAGCAACTTCTCCATGACAACCTGCAGACCTGGGCTGCCCCAGGGGGAGAAGGGGAGACAACGGGGGGATCCCACCCCCAGGACTCCCGTCATATTCCACACCTGGAATGCACCAGCAGGAGCAAACAGGCAGGGGCCATCCGAAGTGGGATTTCAGACTCCGCCTCACCCCGAAGCTCCAAGCGAACACCACGTGAGATGGGATAAAAGAAGCTGAAGCACAAGATGCTGACACAAAATCCTAGCAGCACGAAATGCCAGAAGCAGAAAGATCCTGCAAGCCCATTGCAACTTCCCCAGAGTCTCCAGTACTTCCAGACCCGACCCAGCCCACACGAGACCAGAGGGGAAAAACAAGTCTGCGGATCAAAAGCCCAGCTTCTCATTTGCTGAGCAGCCTCGGGCACCAACACTCTCCCCTGTATAAAGACCCATCAGGCAGCTTCATGCCATCTTCCAAGGTTCCTCTGCGGCCACACAAAGCCCCTCCGGTGATGGGTTTTCAGAATCATAAACCAGCCCAAGGTCAGCCCTCTTGGTCTTCTAACCTGACCTCCACCACCTGTTTCAGTGGGGAAATGCTTTCCAGATTCCAGACAACAAATCATTTCTGGGAAAAATAAAAACACTTTAATCAGTTTACTTTCCCACCCTGAATGAGTCCCTTCCGCCCACACTGGGTCCTTACTTTCCAGTCCCCCAGCCTTGTTCGGACTCCCAGGGGTGGGAGTGCCCCCCCAGCACCACTGAGAGTTCTCTGCAGGCCCCAGGCCATTTGGCCACCAACAGCTGTGGACAAACCCCCCCCCCTCCAGCTCCCTGATGACTGCCAGGGGACAAGGTAGAGGTGGGACAAAGGTGGCAGGTGCTCTGGATAATTCTCATTCCTTGTGGGCCAGTGGGGCCCCCTGAGGAAGGGCAGTGCTAGCAAATGCTCCTTAGCAGTCCTATGGGCCCCCGGGACTTCTCTGATGCCCCCCGGGTTCACGCAGAGCCCCCCAGTGGCTCCCAGGAAGGGCGGCCTC